CTCTCGCCACTGTTGTTCAACATAGTACTGGAAGTCCTAGCAACAGCAATCAGACAACAAAAAGAAATAAAAGGTATTCAAATTGGCAAAGAAGTAGTCAAACGCTCTCTCTTCACAGATGACATGATGCTTTATATGGAAAACCCAAAAGATTCCACTCCTAAACTACTAGAACGCATATAGCATTTCAGTAATGTGGCAGAATACAAAATCAATGTACAGAATCAGTTGCTTTCTTATACACTAACAATGAAAATACAGAAAGGGAAATTAGAGAATCGATTTCATTTACTATAGCACCAAGAACCATAAGATACCTGGGAATAAACCTAACCAAAGAGGTAAAGGATCTGTACTTGAGGAACTACAGAACAATCATGAAAGAAATTGAAGAAGACACAAAAAGATGGAAAAACCATTCCATGGTCATGGATCAGAAGAATAAACATTGTTAAAATGTCTGTACTGCCCAGAGCAACCCATATTTTCAATGCCATCCTGATCAAAATTCCACCAGCATTTTCAAAGTGCTGGAACAAATAATCCTAAAATTTGTATGGAACCAGAAAAGACCCCAAATTGCTAAGGAAATGTTGAAAAAGAAAAACAAAGCTGGGGGCATCACCTTGCCTGATTTCAAGCTTTACTACAAAGCTGTGATCACCAAGACAGAATGGTACTGGCATAAAAACAGACACATAGACCAGTGGAACAGAGTAGTGAGTCCAGATATAGACCAGCAACTCTATGGTCAAATAATCTTTGACTAAGCAGGGAAAAATATCCAGTGGAAAAAAGACAGTCTCTTCAATAAATGGTGCTGGGAAAATTGGGCAGCTATGTATAGAAGAATGAAACTCAACCATTCTTTTATACCATACACAAAGATAAACTCAAAATGGGTAAAAGAACTCAAACGTGAGGCAGGAATCTATCAAAATCCTAGAGGAGAACATAGGCAGTAACCTCTTCGACATCAGGCACAGCAACTTCTTTCAGGACATGTCTCCAAAGGCAAGGGAAACAAAAGCAAAAATGAACTTTTGGATTTCATCAAGATCAAAATCTTCTGCAAGCAAACAATCAACAAAACAAAGAGACAACCCATGGAATGGGAAAAGATACTCGCAAATGACACTATAGACAAAAGGCTAATATCCAAGATCTATAAATAACTCCTCAAACTCTACACCCAAAAAACAGATAATCACGTCAAAAAATGGATAAAAGATGTGAACAGGCACTTCTCTAAAAAAGACACACAAATGGCTAACAGACACATGAAAAAATGTTCACCATCATTAACCATCAGGGAAATTCATATCAAAACCACATTGAGATACCACCTTACACCAGTTAGAATGGCCAAAATTAACAAGACAGTAAACAAGGAGTGTTGGAGAGGATGTGAAGAAAGGGGAACACTCTTACACTGTTGGTGGGAATGCAAATTGGTGCAGCCACTTTGGAAAAGAGTGTGGAAATTCCTTAAGAAATTAAAAATAGAGCTACCCTATAACTCTGCAATTGCACTACTGGGTATTTACCCAAAGATAAAGATGTAGTGGAAAGAAGGGCCATCTGTACCCCAATGTTCATTGCAGCAATGACCACAATCGCCAAACTGTGGAAAGAGCCAAGATGCCCTTCAACAAATGAATGGATAAAGAGGATATGGTTCATATATACAATGGAATATTATGCCTCCATCAGAAAGGATGAATACCCAACTTTTGTATCAACATGGATGGGACTATAGAAGATTATGCTGAGTAAAATAAGTCAAGCAGAGAAAGTCAATTATCCTATGGTTTCACTTACTTGTGGAGCATAAGGAATAACATGGAAGACATCAGGAGAAGGAAAGGAAAAGTGAATTGGGGGAAATCGGAGGGGGAGACAAACCATGAGAGACTGTGGATTCTGAAAAACAAACTGAGGGTTTTGGAAGGGAGGGGGTGGGGGATTGGGTGAGCCTGGTGGTGAGTATTAAGGAGAGCACGTATTGTGTGGAGCACTAGGTGTGGTACATAAACAATGAATCTTGGAACACTGAAAAAATAAAATTTAATTAAAAAAATATAAAATAAAAAATTGCAAATAAAAAAAACAAAAACAACTAATGAGCAGGCAAAAGTGTCAGCCTCATTTTTTGCAGAACTTTGGAGTGTAGTCAAGAACTTAAAACAATCAGGAGTATGCTTAATGAAGAAAGAAGCTGCTGCTTTGCAGTAAGAGAGAGTGCTGGCCTCTCTTGACCTCACATGGCCTGCTGACCATCCCCCATAACCCTGATCCATGGCAGCCATGAGGACTAAGCCCACATTCCCGATACAGGATGCTAGCGCCACAGGAAACAATGGAGATGTTATTCTCAAAGAATTGTCATTGTGAGTCCCAGCTTATCTGGTGGCTCTGTGAAGGAACATACAAGGGTTTGCTTTTATTTTGCCTAACTCGAAACATTCCTAGGACAAAGGTAGCTGCCCAGGAGGCTTTTGTGGTATGCATTTAAAGACAGAAATTTTAGGGGCACCTGGCTGGCTCAGTCAGTGGAGCATACAGATCTTGATCTCAGGGTCATGAGTTAGAGCCCCACATTGGGTGTAGAGATTACTTAAATAAACAAACTTAAAGAAAAAGAAAGAAATTTTGGCTCTGGCAGCCTGGGGTTAGTTGGGACAACCAATAGACTGAAAAGCCTGGGAAAGAAGAAATTGGGAAAGGAGATACCTGATGGTGGGGGGTGGAGGCACTTTAATCAAGAAGGCCACACAAAATGTCAGAGCTAGGCACGTGGCCAAAAAGGCCTGAGAAGACCCCAGCTTTTTAATCTAATAAATATATTTATCTCTGACTGGCCTTCAGGCTCCATGCATGCTGGGAGCAAAGACTAAGGCAGCATTGTAAGCAGTGGGGATAAGCACTGAACTCATGCCCCGAAGAAGCCAATGTGCAAAGACTAAGAGAATTTTTTTTTCTTTTTTGCTCCAAGTGTTGAAGGAAACTGTCAAAACACCAAGTGACCATGACTGCTAAGTTCACTGAACACCACTTTCACATAACAAATAGTTTAGAGAAATGGTAAAATAGCAACGAATAACAACCCACAAACAAGCAGTAGCAATAAACCCTGAGGAGGAGGAAATCTCTCGTTTCCAGAACTGTCACAGTATAATATTAAAAATCTCCAGTTTTCAACCAAAAAACTACAGAGCATGCAAAGAAACAAGAAAATATGGCTCTTTCACAGGGGAAAAAAAGGAAATTACAAGTGTCCATGATGTTGGGGCATTGGACTTACTAGACAAAGACGTGAAATCAACTCTCTCAAATATGCTCAAAGAGCTAAAGTAAGTCACAGGGAGAGAACCAAAGGAACCAGGAAAACCCCATCCCACCAAATATAGAACATCAGTAAAGAGATAGAAATTATAAAAATGAACCAAACAGAAATTCTGGAGATAAAAGTATGATAATGGAAATGAAAACTAACTGAAGGATTTCAACTGTAGATTTGAGCCTGCAGAAGAATTAGGGAACTTGAAGATAGATCCATTGAGATCATCCATTTTAAGAAGAAAAAAGAGAAAAGAATGAAAAAATAATTAAACCAAACGTAAGACACCTATGAGACACCATCAAGTATACCAACATATACATAATGGGAGTCCCGGATGGAGAGGAACAGGAAGAAACTAAAAGAACGTTTGAAGAAATAATGCCTTCAAACTTCCCAAATTAAATGAAAGTCATGAATCTAAATATCCAAGAAATTCATTGAGCTAAATGCCAAAAGAGTAAATAATAATAAAAATAGAGAAACATATACTAGCCAACATGTAAGCACACAAAGATGTGCAATAAGTATTTGTTGGATCAATTTACAAACGATGTTGAAGACCACTATTGCCCATGTTTCACGCTGCCCTGACCTACTTCAAATGATCATATCCACTGGCTGGTCATGTGAATATAAACAAGAATGGCAGTTCCCAGGGAGAGGACAAGTGAATTCTAGGGAAACTTCAGCACACTTTCACCACCCTGAACACAGTTCTCTTTGAGGTCACAGGGTCCAAAGCTCACATTTTATACACAAAACAATCCTTTGGAGGAAGACTCTAATAAGCTTTTGTTAGTTGTTTCTCTACCCACTGCTTCTTTCCTTTTCCTTAACAGTCTCCAGATTCTACCCAGAGGCCATTAACCCCAACTCTAAACTTAGAAATGGCTTCTAGTTGTCTGCAGGTGATCAATCTTTTATGTCCGCTCTGACCATCATGATCGGCTTAGAGATGCATACATGAAGGAAGAAAGGCAGTAGAGACCAAAAGATCATGGCTAGGGTGCTGTGTGAGCAATGGGGAAAGTAAAAATCTCTTTTTTGTGTAGGTTGTATCTGGAACCATGTCACTCCAAGGACCAGTCACCACTCTTTAACAGTAAGGGGTGAGTCTGCTGAGAGAGCAAGGAGGCAGAGACATGGACTGGAAGGTTAAGAAACGGGTTCCAGGCCACCTCACTTAGTCCTCCAGCCCCATGTTTCCCAAACTTAAGTAGGTAATAAAATCCCAGGCCCCTTTTTAGTTCTGCTGCATCTGAATCTCCAGGTTAAGTCCTGGGAAACTGCTGTAGTCTCACCTGAAGCCAGCCCTAACGTTGAAGCTTTCAGAAACATGAACCAATAAATGTCCTTTATAATTTAAAAGAATTTGAGATCAGCCAGTTACTTGCCAATGAAAGCATCCTGACTGGTAGAAGCCAGCTAGATTTGTTTCTTTTGGGGGTTTCCCTCTTTATAGAGAAGTAAGCACCAGCTCTCAATGGATCATGTTATTTACATGTCTCTGATAAAGTTCAAAGGACAAGCTCTGGCTTTTCACAACAACCTGGAAAAAAACAGGTTGAGAAATACATCAGCTAATCTCTCTTCCCTCCCACTGCTCCTCCCTCTGGCTCTCCTTTCTTAGATTAATAGGGTTCTAGAAGATCTTTTCAAAGAGACTCCTCTAGAGGCATCCAGAATCACTGCTAAAATTTGAAACCCAGAGTCTCTCCAGGATGTCCCTCAGCGCTGTAAATCACCGCATTCCTCTAAGCGATGGAAACAGCATTCCGGTCATCGGTCTTGGGACATATTCAGAACCTAAACTGGTAAATTTCTCTCTCTCTCTTTTATTTTAATGTTTTGAAACTCTCCTAGAACACAATCTTGAACTCATTTTGAGTGGATCTCATTGATTGACTTTTTATAATGAAAGTTATCTCCAGAGTACTATTTGGCATTATGAGTACTGAGACAGAGGTTAAAACTATATCAGTTTATAATTTAAAATTATCTTTAGCTTAGAAGCTTAGAAGATGGGACCTTTCTTCTTCCTTTGATGAAATTTAGCTGAATACAGATTATTAGAATGAACTGAGGCACATGAAGTTTCTGAGTTTACCACTTGTGAGGTTTTTTAAACTTTTATTTGAGAATTTCCAGTTCAGTCTAACAAATACTTAGTAAAAACCTCCCAGGTATGAAGCACTTGGCTATAGAAGCTTCAGATATGAAGGGAACAGTGTCTGTGCTACCTAGGTATTAGAAATCAAATAGAGGAGGCAGATTCTTTAATAGCTAATTATAGAATGATGAAGATAAGAATAAATACTATCCTAGAACTACAAACTATTTCTCTGAAAACACAGACAAGAGAATTGTTAAATTTGACCTTCAGGATTGAGTGGGTTGCCATTTAAACACAGTTTCTACTTGTAAGAAAAATATCTTTCTGCTTTCCTCATTGCAATTCAAATTTAATGCTGATTACCAGAATAAACCATCATATGTGTAGAAATGCTACCAGATTTGTAGCATTAGATCAGATTTGTGTGATCACGTAGGAATGACCTCCAGAAAGCTAACCACGAGTTAGAAGGCAGAGAAAGAGAGCTGAGGCAGGGTGTTTGGGGCAAAGGAGAATTACAGAGGCACAACGATAAATGGTATGTCCAGCAAAGGCCAAGCCTGCAGTGGCTGGCACAAGGAATTAGTGGTGGAGGCAATGGCAGCTGGCTCTGGAAATGTAGGTTGAGACTAGATCATAAAGGACCTTGAATGCCATGCCAATGAGCTGGAACTTCACTCTGTATAAAAGGAGGAATTATGTGAAGTTTGGAAACAAAGGAAAAGCATCATGAGATCAGTAATTTTGAAAGATAATTCTGGAGCAGCATAGAGAATGGAAGACAGAAAAAGAAAAATAAGCCTAGAGTAACCAGTTAGTTAACGAACTCTTGTATCACAATCCCACATTCCACTGCAATTGCCCAGTCCCCTTGTTTTTGATAATGCAAAGGAAAACCACTGTTGGAACAATTACAAGGGTCTAAGTCATTGGCCCCTTCCTCTTCTTACTTTGCCCATGATCTGTCTATGATCTCGTTCACAACCTTGGCTCTGACCACATCCATGCAGAGACACCTATTTCCTATTTTTTTTTTTTTTTTTTGGTTATATGTCCCCATACAACTGTGGACTGGCTACATCAGAACCACTTGGGGATTTAAAAAAAAAAATACAGATCCTTAGGCTTCACCTCTGTTCTACTGAATCTGGACCTTAAGGGGTAGAGACTGCATTTAACAAGCTCTTCAGATAATTCTGTTGGACGGTCAAGTATGTGCTCTGTCTTCCTCAGACACCTCTAATTCAATATGACAAAATTACACTATCCATCTCTCCTTCCCCCAGCTCCTGAAATACTCTCCTTCTAGAAAATAACACTATTACTCTGAGCCCCCCAAGCCAGAAGTCTGACCATATTCCTACATTCTGCCCTCTTCCGCATGTTTCTCCTTGTCCACATTCTATCCAAATGATTGCTATTCAATTTCTCTCAGAAATATGTTTTCAATTCATACCACTCTCTCTATCTCCTTTGTCACTGCCTTAGTTTAGGTTCTTAATTTATCAGTAAGTTATTCTCCCTATCTTCTCCCCTCCAATTAATGATCCAAACTGGGGCTGTCAGGATCTTTCTCAGACCCAAATCTGATCATGTCACTTCTGTGCTGAATTATTTCAGTGGCTCTCTTTCAATTACAGGGTAGAGACCACATTCCTTACCTTGCACACTGAGCTTTCAAGGCTCAGTCAAGACCCATCTGTCCAGCATAATCCACCACCACTCTTCCACCTTTCCCTCTGTGTAAAAAAAATACCTGCCTGAGATCCTGGAACAACTCTCCCATCTCCATGCTTATGAACATGCTGCCTTCTACCTGGAACACCCTTTCTCTTGGCTTTTCACTTAGCCAGCTTCTACTAAACCTTCAAGACTCAGCTCAAGGACACCACTCCTTAGAATCCCATCCCTCCAGCCACCACAACTTGTCCCTCTTGTGTGTTCACATGGACTCTTTTACTTGACTTTACTGTAGATCTTATCACACTGGATTGTAATCCTTGTTTCTCTACAATCTGCCCCACAAGACTGTGAAATCCATTATGAAAGAGAGAATGTCTTGTTCAGTTCTGTATTTCCAAGGTAGTATTTAATAAGTAATGGATATTCAGCTGATGCTTTCCAATTAATTAGTTTATAAAAGGGGATCTCTATGTTTGTGAGCATGTGAGGCTAGGAAGATGTAAACAGACATGACAGTAATAGCTAACGTTTTGAGGACACTTAACATGCACTAGGAACTCCTTTGAGGGCTTCACATTACATGTATTTTCTAATATAATCCTCAAGACATTATGAAAGATACACCATGTAACCCCATTTACAGATGATAAAGCTGAAGTATAGAGAGATAAAATTGCTCCAAACTTACAGTGCTAGGGAACAGAGTTTGGATTTGAACAAATATACTTTGGGTCCAGACCCAATATTCTTTTTTTTTTTTTAAAGATTGATTGATTGCTTGATTGATTGACTTGACAGACAGCGAATGCACAAGCAAGGGATGAGGCAGGCAGAGGGAGAGGGAGAAGCAGGCTTGCAGAGGAGCAGGAAGCCCCAAGCAGGGCTCTATCTCCGGACCCGACATCATGACCTGAGCTGAACACAGATGCTCAACTGACTGAGCCATCCAGATCCAATGTTCTAATCCCTATACTCTACTGCCTGTTAAGAATATATTTAATGTCAATGAAACTGCAAATTTCTATAACTTTCTGTGTATTTCTATTTATGAAAGTACATAGGAATATACATCCTGAAAGTATGTAGAATATATGTGTGTGTGTGTGTGTGTGTGTGTGTGTGTGTGTGTGTGTATCCTGAAATTCAGTTGGGCTCAAAGTGTTGTGCCTAACAATAAGTACTATTAAGTACTTTCTGGGTGTCTAGTAATATTCAATGCTATAGGTTAGAGACATTCAGAATCATGTGTTATTTCCCCAAGAAAGAGTTATAATTCACTTCAGAAGATAAGACATACACCAGTTAGACAATATGATGTAAGAAGAATACTATGAGAAATGGAGATCACGCATACACCAACTACATTTGTGATCAGAAATATTACCAACTGTAAAGTAATCAATGGAGCTAATGGTCTCACAAAATCAGAAACTCTGATGTAATGAAAAATATACCACATTTATCTGGAAGGTTTGTTGGGCTGCAGAGGGAGATGAGGGGTGGGAAGAATGGATTATCTCACATAAAGCAGATTCATGGCTTTCTATTCCAACCTATGCAAGTGCTAACTCCTTTATCATCTTCCCAGGACCGATGAGGAAGAGGCTAGAACTATCCATGTCCAAGTCGGCCACCTTGAAATAAAAGTACTCAATTTTATTTAACTTCAGAATCAGTCTTAGTCCTAAAGGCAAAGTCTGATGCCAAAATTTAGTTTCCTCAACTTGGCATGCCTGAGAGTCTTTTCAAACCCTCATTCCACAACAAAGGGTAGAAGGCAAATGCCAGGCTGAGGTAACTCTTTACCTGAAATTCATTTGTGTTTTGTGTTTGGGGTCCTGTTAGTATCTGTCCTGGGATCCTGTTCACTTTTTACAGAGAAGTTAGAGAGCAGGAGAGTGCCGGGGAAAGATCCAGTCACATCTTCAGGGGATTACTTCAGAATTCAATTCAGAATTACTTCAGAATTCAGTTACTTCAGAATTCAGAATTCAAGGAATTACTTCAGAAAGGGTGAGAGCAGACATGAAAGGCCAAAGTCAGAAAGGCTAACAATGTCTCATCTGACCTCTGCCCGGGTCAGATTCCACCAGAGCGTGTAGAGACAGGAACTGGAAAAGCAACTTGGAGGAACAGTACCATGAAGCTGTTTGAGGGGCCTCAGGCCAGCTTCTCCTGGCTTTCAAAAAGATTTTTCTTTCTCTTATTGTGCCCAAATTTCTTATAAAGGTGTTTCATGCCTGTGGACTCAGAGAATTTAAGATGGAACCAGCACTTAGTGTCACCAAACACTCTGTGCATTACGCCACCTGGTGATGGCTAATGAAAACTAAAAACGTGCAAATTATCTAGGTGACTTTTTTCCTTTTGAAAGCTTCCCAGAATATTTTCATCCAGGAATGCAATAGTTTATAACAGCTTCCCAACAGATTTCCCTACAGCTCCATTTGAAAAGGTCTGACGCGTGACAGTGTCTTATTCCTTTGGATCTTATTCCTTTTTTCAGTTTTGATAGAAATTAACTCTGTTTTTATGAACATCAGCCCATGGAGTTAATAGCCCATCTTTATCAAAAACTTCAAGTAAAACTCAAGAATGTTACCAGATGTGCAAATGACACAAGCCCAGGACCACTGGTAAATATTTTTACAGAGAAAGAGACACATATGACTAAAATATAAGGAAAAGCTGAACTGCTTTAAGAGAGATGAAACTGGTTCAAAGTTAAAGTAGCAACGAGTGAATCAGTTACAAGGTAGATCAAGTCCTAGGAAGTGGATTGGGGGTCGTAAATGATCCGATATTCCTTCTGGGTGGTCCACATTGAGATTTCTGTAGCTACAAGCAGTTTTCACAGTCTGGAGAGTGAGCCGAAGACTTTGTATCTGGGGCAAAGGAGAGGTGAAGTCCAAACCTTTCATGAGTACCAAGGGGGAGCCTTAAACATCAAGTCCATTCTGCCCCTGAGCTGGAAGGGGATGGGAGGCACAGGCTTAGGACTGTTCTCAGAATTTTGCC